GGGAGGGGCTGGTCCTGCTGGGGGGTCTCACTGGGGATTTGTGTTGTCCCAGAGGTTTGGGGGGGGGTCTCGCCGAGGATTTGGGGGGTCTGGGGGGTCGCGGGGATCCCCCCCTGACCCCTGGATCCCCCCGTTTCCCAGCCGGGGTCCCCCCGAGGCGGATGAGCTCCTGCGGCGGGCGGGGTTCCTGTACGAGGGCACCTATCGGTGGGTGCCCCCCCCCGGGCCCGACCCCCACTCCTGACCCACGGCTGGACCCCCAAAAACACTCCGGGGCTCTGGGCCGGGGGTCGGTGCCCCATGGGACCCCCCCGCCCCGTAATCCCCCCCAAATCATGTCCCACAGACCCCCACCACCGCCCCAATCGTGCTCCAGAGTGCCCCAAACACACTCCAGCCCCCCAAAAACACCTCTGGGCTGGGGGGGCTCCCCAAACCCCCCTGCGCCCCCCAGAGCCCCCCAACCTAGCCCCGTAGACCCCCAGAGCCCCCCAGAGCCCCCCAGCTGGGACCAAAGCCCCCCGTGCTTGAATCGAGCTCCCAAAGCTTCATGATCCCCTCATTGTCCTCGCCCCCGACATCAGGAGCAACTAATGATTAACGCAAATCAATGAATCAATTAATCTGCCATTAACCAGGACCAATTAAACCCACCTTTGGCTAATTAATTATCACCAGCACCTTCTAATTGCCCCCAGGCACTTACAGGGCAGAGCTCCCCTATGGCACTTATGGGGTGGAACCCCAACACTTGTAGGGTCAGGACCCCAAAAGTTATGGGGTGGAACCCCAACAGTTGTGAGGCAGGACCCCAACACTTGTGGGGTCAGCACCTCAAAATTTGTGGGGCGGGACCCCAACATATTTGGGGCAGGACCCCAACAGTTGTGAGGCAGGACCCCAAAAGTTATGGGGCAGAACCTCAACACTTGTGGGGCAGAACTCCAACACCTGTGGGGCAGGACCCCGACATTTTTGGGGCAGAACCCAAACACTTGTGGGGTCAGGGCCCCAAAAGTTATGGGGTAGAACCCCAAACACTTGTGGGGTCAGGGCCCCAAAAGTTATGGGGTAGAACCCCAAAAGTTATGGGGCAGAACCCCAACACTTGTGGGGCAGGACCCCGAAATTTATGGGGTCAGGACCCCAATAGTTATGGGGCAGAACCCCAACATTTTTGGGGCTGAACCCCAGCACTTGTAGGGTCAGGGCCCCAAAAATTATGGGGCAGGACCCCGACAGTTATGGGGCAGAACCTCAAAAGTTATGGGGCAGAACCCCAACACTTGTGGGGCAGGACCCCGAAATTTGTGGGGCTGAACCCCGACATTTGTGGGGCAGGACCCCAACACTTGTGGGGTCAGGACCCCAAAATTTGTGGGGCAGGACCCCAACACTTGTGGGGTCAGGACCCCAAAATTTGTGGGGTGGGACCCCGACATTTTTGGGGCACAAGGCCCATGGGGGAGGGGAGCCCCTGGATCCCAAAGGGGGCGGGATCAAGGTGCATGGGTGGGGTTTATGCTAATGAGGAAGCCGGGTTTATGCTAATGAGGAAGCAGGGTTTATGCTAATGAGGAAGACGGTTTATGCTAATGAGGAAGCATTGCCATTGCTGGGAGAACCCTGGCGGGGGCGGGGCCAGCGAGCCAGCAGCCAATCTGGAGGCAGTGGGCGGGGCTGCACCAGAGCACCGATGGCACCGCTGTTACCTGGGCACACCTGGGGCACACCTGGGCACACCATGGCACACCTGGGCACACCATGGCACACCTGGGCACACCAGAGCACACCTGGGCACGCCTGAGCACACCGTGGCACACCTGACCACTGCTGGGCACATCTGAGCACACCTGGGCACACCTGAGCACTGCTGGGCACACCTGGGCACATCTGAGCACACCTGAGCACTGCTGGGCACACCTGAGCACTGCTGGGCACATCTGAGCACACCTGAGCACTGCTGGGCACACCTGAGCACCTCCTGGGCACTCTTGAGCACACCTGGGCATACCTGGGCTCACCTGGGCACACCTGAGCACTGCTGGGCACACCTCGGCTCATCTGAGCACACCTGGGCATACCTGGGCACTCCTGGGCATACCTGGGAATACCTGAGCACACCTGGGGCACGCCTGAGCACACCTGAGCATTCCTTAACACATCTTGGCTCACCTGAGCACACCTGGGCATACCTGGGCACACCTGGGCACACCTGGGCACGCCTAAGCACACCTGGGTATACCTGGGCACACCTGAGCACTGCTGGACACACCTGGGCATACCTGAGCACACCTGGAGACACTTGAGCACTCTTGGGCATACCTGGGCACACCTGGGGCACAACTGACCACATCTGGGCACACCTGGACACACCTGGGCATTCCTGAGCACTGCTGGGCACACCTGGGCATACCTGGACTCACCTGGGAATACCTGAGCACACCTGGGGCACACCTGAGCACACCTGGGCATACCTGGGCACTGCTGGGCACGCCTGAGCACACCTGGGCACACCTGAGCACTTCTGGGCACACCTGAGCACTGCTGGGCACATCTGAGCACACCTGGGCACACCTGGGCATTCCTGAGCACACCTGGGCACACCTGGGCATTCCTGAGCACACCTGGGCACAGCTGGGCATACCTGGGCACTGCTGGGCACGCCTGAGCACACGTGGGCACACCTGAGCACTCCTGAGCACTGCTGGGCACACCTGGGGCACACCTGGGCACACCTGAGCACACCTGAGCATACCTGGGCACACCTGGACACACCTGAGCACACCATGGCACACCTGACCACACGTGGGAATACCTGAGCACTGCTGGGCACACCTGGGGCACACCATGGCACGCCTGACCACACCTGGGAATACCTGAGCACACCTGAGCACTGCTGGGCACACCTGGGGCACACCTGGACACACCTGAGCACACCTGGAGCACAACTGGGCATACCTGGGCTCACCTGAGCACACCTGGGCATATCTGGGGCACTGCGGAGCACACC